ACAAAAAAGATTTTGTTAAGTGAAAAATGGGAAAGTTGATGAAGAGAAAGTTCTTGACACTATTGCACTTCCTGTACATCAAATATGAGATCGCTACTGTGCTAGGGACTTTTTTGTTATAGAGAAATAAGTGACCTCAAACAAACAACCCCAAGGGGCATTTAGGTAAGGGTGCCGTTTGTAAAGAGGCGAGGCTCTAAACAATCAAAGGAAAGCCCACTTTGAAATAGTATCGAGAAATATGGTTTTAATACTAAAAATATTTGTGAAAGCTTTAAAATATATTTTTATTTTTAATTATAAAATTTAAAATTTAAAAAATGGTGTAAATTGAGCGATCTATGAAAACTTGAAAATCTTGAAAATTGACGGTCCAAAAACGCGTTACAAGATACACTATTTCCGAAACTTTAAATCCATTTTTTTTTAATGTCCATGCATATTGATGTTGAGATGATCAATTTGAGGATATTTGAGCATCAAAACAATATCTTCTAATGAAAGTTTTGATGTGGGCTTTAAATTAATGGTTTAGAGCCTCACCCTATATAATCTTTATCCTTTATATAATATCACTTAAAGAGATTTCACCCAAATGATAAAAATACCCTTAATTGTTTGGTTACTACACTTTGTTCACTATTAGTTGCACAGACGAACTAGGGGTATTTTTGTTATTTTGTATTTAAAATTTTGCATCTATAAAATGATAAAAAATACCCTTAATTATTCCATATTACTAATATAGAATAATGTATTATTTGTAATGTAAAACAATAAAAGGTATTTTAGTTAGGGTGTAGTTTATGTAAGGTTGCAACTTTAAACAATCTAATTAAAGCGCACCTACAAAATTTACCATAGCATTATTTTTGGTGTAAAAAATTCTTAGGATTGTCTTAAAATCTATTTTCATGTTTAATTATAAAATTTTAAACTTCAAAAATAGTTAAAACGAGTAGATCTATAAACATTTGAAAATCTTGAAAATGGACAGTCTAGATAATATGTTGCAAGATGGACTATTTCTTGAACTTAAAATTTTTGTTTTTTCATATTCATTAATCTCAATGCTGTGATGATCAATTAAAAGGTTTTTCAACATTAAAGCAGCCTTTTTCGATAAATTTTTTTGACGCATATGTAATTCTACATTTTAAGGTTGCGACCTTATATAAACATTTTCGTTTTGTTATTTGGATAAAGCTTTATTTTTTTGAATTATTGAAATGCCTCTTTTTGCTCTTCTATACTAGGATAAAGTAAGTACTTTGAAATTTTATTTTTAAAAAGGTTTCGGAAAAAGCTAAAAATATACCCTCAAGGTAAGGGATAGTTCAGCGAAATTTTAAGCGGTTTCATGCCCTTAATGTTGTTTTCCGATCTTATTTTCCCAAGCGATACATAGCACAACCGCTACAAATCGTTCAGGTTGGGGCTCGATTGAAGGAGCAATGGTGTGCGAGAAATGTAAGCTTCGTCCCTATAGGTTACTTCAATGGAAAATCTTTTTAATTTCTTTAATTTTTCTCGGAAAAGTTTATTCTGAAGCGTGATACTGAATTTGTTTTGGTATATGACAGGCGAGAAGAAACTCTCTAAGGTAATTGTCCCCGATAAATGGAAGGAAGGTGCCAGCAATACTACTGAAGGAGGGGGCCGAAAGGTTAACGAGAACAAGCTTCTTTCCAAAAAGAACAGGTTAGGGTTATAGTTTGGTTTTTCTTTTTGTAAAGTTGTTAGGCTTTCTCTGGTTCTTTGGGTTTAGGGTTTTCGTTTAATTGAATGGATTGCTTCTCAGGTGGACGCCTTATGGGACCACCAAGTGTATTATTTGCAAGCAACAGTTACACCAAGATGGCCGCTATTGTCAAACCTGTGCGTATAAAAAAGGTGAGGTCGTCATAATTTCTCATGCCTTTTCTTAAGTTTTTGGTTTGCTTATTTTGTTTTCCATATTAAACATTAGTACTGGTTACTGTTTCTATCCCCCATTGTGTAATTTCATTTAGTGGATTGGTTTGAATTTCAGATATTTTTTGTTTTCTTCAGGTGTATGTGCAATGTGTGGCAAACAAATTATTGATACAAAGATATACAAGCAAAGCAATGTCTAACTCTAAATGGTACATTTACTTTTTCTTTTTTTCTTTGTCTTTAATTTTTGGAATTAATTTTGTTGGGCTATCTGCTGGAATTGATATTATTTGAAAAATTGTGCAATTACTAATGAACATGGGGATGTGAACAAATTTTGCATCTTCGAAAATGAACTGGTTTTGTTGTATGTTTTGCTTGGAGGTGTGTCATACTATAGGTTGCTATGTAAACGGAATTGAACCATGGAATTTGTGAAATTGTTTGTTGTGTGTGCTTTCATGTTCACCTAACCGGTTATGCTCAAATTTTCATCAGGGGTTTAGTTGACTCTTCTAATTTATTTTCCAATGGTCTCTTATTATTTTGTTGTTAATGGATGTCATGGAATTCGAGTGAACCTTTTTTAGCATTCAAGCAATTTTGATCCATTATACCTATACTTGTGCCAGGGAATTTTTTTCATAGACTCAATACTGTTGAAATTATCTGTCATTGTACTTTTCCTTGGTTTCAATTATGTGTTCAATCTGTCATCATCATAACATTTATGTTTTAGTTTTGTCATGGTTTACTGAAACTGGAATTGTGTCAATGCTTCAAAAATTTTATCCTATCTGATGATGCAGTCCATAAAGTTGCCCCCCTTTCATTGGAAGCTCTTTCTTATTCTGGTAAAATCCAATATGCTTTTGAATCACACATGGCCTGGGGCTCGCCCAGGCCCCAAGCAGTGTCAACTAGCCAAATTCCAAATTGACTTGTTGGATCTCTTCTCAGATCTTGAAAGACTTAAAAAAAAGGAATGCAATTGATTCTAGAAAATGGAGATTATACATTTGTGCGTATTTCAAAATTATGTTAACTTTTTTCTGCCATAAGTGAATTTAGTATTTTTTTTAGTCACATGAGTTTTTATCATAATTGGCTGTATTGTATAAATAAAGTGGAATGCATGACGATTCTTACAATAGTTGTGGCTCATTGTCACAGAGCCTGTTTACATGACTTGTATCTGCCAAGAAAGTGGGAATAGAGGGAGAGAGCAGGGGAAATTAGAATCAGGGTGAGGAGAGTGTAAGCTACCAGCTTATGACGGTAGAGCAAGGGATTAGGGCCAATGAGAATGGGGGAAGGAGTAACAGAGATAGAGGGTAGGTAGGGGCTCTTGTTAGATTTGCTTGTTAACATCAATTTGTGTGTGCATAGCTTTCCTAGCCTGACTATTTAAAACATGGTTTGCTTCTCCTGATGTGCCTAAGAAACCAATTGGAGGGGCCTCGTAATATTGAAAATTTGATCAAAAATGGGGTCAAGCCTTCATGGGCAGGTTACTGCTTTGGACCCAGCTTATTATATTTTTCGACTCCCCTTCCACGATAAGGCAGGGAACCCAACTACTGTCATGGGGCCTCAACCCATGCAAGAGGGCCATTGGTTCAGCTGTTGTAGAGCAAGCTTCCCCTATCAGCCTAGAGAATGAAAGAAGAGATTGAGACGAGCTGTCCTGAATAAACTCCTAGTACCAGCAGGCACAGGGTTGCCCATGGGAAGAGCCATCAAAATTTATTTAATAACTCTGCTTGGTGAGAATTCTACGAGCAGGCTCTAGATGCCTGCAACGGTCTCAACTTGATAATAGCCTTCTAATTGGCGGTGAAGTCAGCTGGAGACCAAGCATTGAATTCTTTCCTACTTTGGGCCCAGAATATAACAGAAGTCTTAATCCTGATAGTATCCTTGACTCTTAAAGTCATGGAGGATTTACCTTTGAAAGTTCTATCACAACTAACCAAATATACCATTGAGTGGCAAGCATGGAGGCCTTCTAAAGGAAAAGACCAATGGATGAGAGGGCCTGTATGTAATGCACTGCAGACATCTGCTGTAAGGACCGGGTTCTGACCCATGACCATTCGAAGAGCTGCAAGAGAGGGCACTTTGTACGGTCGGCTATTCGGCGTTGAACAAAGAGGTTGTCAATCTACTCCTCAATTTCTCTGCAAATGGGGCAATGATTGGGGAACTGTATACACCTTTTTATCTGGTTCCTTGTTGAGGACCTATTTGTATAGTGATAACCAAGTGAATGCTTGGATTTTCAGCAGTGTAGGCCTGAACCAGGCTTTGTTGACCTTGGGCAATGGGAGAGGCTGCAGGTGAGTCATAGGTAAAAAGGGGAAATAGCAAATGAGCCATAGCTATTTGGGCCCCAAATCATCTAATTTGTACTAAAACTCATAAAATATGGTCGGAGAGCAAGGATAGCAGTGAGGTAAGGATAGCAACGAGGCCAAATGAGAGGTTCTTAATTCGGGAGGATCTGCCTAAAGATGGGAGGCCAAATAATCTGGCTCCCTGAAATTTTGAGGGGCTGAGCTACTGTAGCCTCCTAGTTGCTAGCCAAAAAGAAGAGGTTTGGTAATCCCCCAGCCTGAGATCTTTACACAACCTTATAGTTTGTCCATTTCTGAGTCTAAACTGCATGTTTCTGGTGAAGCTTTAATGCTCTGAGGAATAGCCTTTCAGTCCCCTGAGGCCTGACATTCAAGGTTCTTCGAGGGAACCCACCCCAATGAGTCTAGCCCATATTTATGCTGAATGACCTGCTACGACAGATGTCTCCTGCAGTTTTGTATAGCCCTTATTTGTGCCGAACAACCTGCTACCAAGATCTTCCCCCTGGTTTGCATAGTGCCATCACCATTTTCCTAACATGAAGGAGTTTCATTGTCGGACTTTCCTAATACCGTCCCCCATTAGTCTTTGGAGAAACAAACAGTTTTCCACTTATGAAGGGGAATTTATTAGAACCATCAGCCCACTTGACAAGAAGTACCACATTAGTCTTTCTAGGCGATGGACGACCAACATGGGCATCCTGACCATGGACATTGGGAAAACTTGGCAGGGAGTCTATAGCTTAGCCTTGTCCTGTAGCTAATGTTTTGATCTAACATGTTCATATTGAAACCCGTAAAGAGTTCAGATCGCCTTAGGAACAATCAAAGGTTGTCCACTTGTTGGGGGTGGCTTTATGAAAAACCATGGTGGCTTTATGAAAAACCATGGTGTCATCTGGTCCTTGTCTGGAGGACTTGGAACCTTCTTGCATATTGTAGTCACAGATGTTCCATATAGATCTATTGAATACTTCTTCCATTATTGCGAACAGGAAAGGTGAATTGGGGTCTCACTGTCAGAGGGCCTTCTGGGAAGTGCCCTCTTTGGCTACTGCTTAAAATGACCAAGAAACAGGGCAGGTGACAGACCCCTTGATCCAGAATATCTCCATCTTTCCCTGTAGCCCACGCACGATATTCCTGTCAATTGGGTGGTAGGTGTTCTCTTGGTCTAGATTAAGCGCTAGACCCCAGTATTAGATCGATGCCGAGCATGAATGCCTTTATGCGTTATAGGTGCCCCATTGAACATTTGTCTATCTTTGGTGAAGGGCCCTTCTTGTGAGTGGTAGCCCACGAAGTTTAACACATGTTTCAAGCATGAGGCTGACACTTTCACCAAGATTTTGTATAGACTATTGAGGGGCTAATTGGTCTGAAGTCTTTGAGGTCATCTGCCCCTCAATCTCAGAGAATACGGCTGCGAAAGTGTAGTTTAGGCTCATATTACCTTTGTATCTATGATAGAATTTGGCTAAGGCTAATATATCTTGGGCTAAAATACCCAGAAACTATTGAAGAATGTGACTGGGAAGCCATTCAGTCTGGGCCCTTTCTCTTGACTGAGTTTGCAACCGTTGCATAGATCTTGTCAACCTAAGGAGGTATTTCTAACCCTGCTCGCTTATCAGTAGAAGGGAGGGGAGGGTGAGATTGTTGAAGCTGGGTCTAGTCTGGGCATGGGCAGAGAAAAGTTTTCTTTAAGTACATGATGATTGTGATCTATTGACTTCTTGAGGGCCATCATAGATTTTCGAACCCATAGATTTTCGAACCCATTTTTCTGAAGTATTGTGATGGGTTCGCTGTGACTTTTGGATATGCGATGGAAGAAGGCTGTATTCTAATCCGCCTCTTTCCACCATTGGATCCTAGACCTCTGGTACCTGTGATTCTCTTCTTGTTTAGAAGTTGTCCAATAGTCCGATCTAGCCTTAATTCACCTGGTCCTCTCGGAATGCTTACTTTCTCTGAATTCCTCAATGAGATTAAGCTAGCTGATCTCCTTAAGCAATGATCCTTTTCTAACCTGAAAATTCCCTGAATGTAAACTACTCTACTATACAAGTTTAGTTTTATTCCCTAGCTTAAAGCCCCACAGAGTTATCCGATCTGTCTGGATGTCTCGAAGTGCCTGGAATGAAGGAAAATTCCATTAGTCGGGACTGAGGACCTATGTCTGCTTACAGATCTGATTGATGGTTTTCAAGGCATGAGCCTAAGAATAGCCCCTTTGAAACACATATTAGATTTTTGGGTTGCAGACTGTTCCTGATCATGTGAGGGGAATGAAAACAGGTAGCTGCCTACATCAATCTGTTGGTATACCAGATTTGAAGAAATGAAGAGCTCTTTTGCCTTTGCCTTGCACATTGTGTCAATGGGGGAGAAGCAACTGGTGATGGAATCCCTTATCACTTTACAAGATAATTTTTTCTGTAAATACTTTCAATTGCTGAGCCTGAGACGGAGAAGGGCTCCTTAATTGGGGGTCGTTGAAGGGGAGTAGATGCATTAGGTGATGACGTTTGGTTGATTGGAGGTTGTTGAGGACGAAGTAGCTGCATTAGCTGGTGGAGTATGGTGGGACTGTCCGACCTTGGCAGTGGCTGGGAAAACCAGACTGCCATTCTATGTAATGTAACTTCATACTGCCATTCTATTTAATGTAACTTCATATGCAAATCCATACATGAGGTCGATTGGATTTGTATATTATGCATAGAAAATCCAAAGATTCTATAGTTCTACTTACCAGGATTGTTTCTACTTACCAGGATTCTGATATCCGTTTTAGTGTTGAACATGGTTTTTTAAAAGTGCTTGTTTGGCTTTCTTTGTATGCAACTCTGTTTTTTATTCATATCTTGGGTATGCAAATCCTGGTTAATGGGACAATGCTATTGGAATAGCTTCTATATGGAACCTACGATATGCATATCCCCTGTTTGAGTCATCTATTTGTAAAACTTGGGTGTTTATTCATATTCTAGAAATTGCTCCCTAGTAGGAAGGGCAATTATAATTTAATTAATATTTTTTGGATGAAAATAAAATGAGTTTCTTAATGCTTCCCTTTTTTATCGGATATGTTTGAAGAGTAAAACATTGTAATTTAAAATGCGTGGAGCCTTAAAAGTTCTCTTTTAATGCTTGACATTCATCAGTGCTCAAATTATCCTGCACATCATTTTTAACAAAATTTTGAATCCAAAAATAGAAAAAAAAAGAAAGAAAAGAGCACACCTGCATTCTAAGAATTGATCAACATTTGGTAGTTTCTAGTTGTCTAATTTTAATGTTTAAACATGAATGGGAAGTTCAAAAAAATGAGAAGTTCATATTCAGTTATATGTTACAGTAAGTCAAAAGCTTGAATTAATGGGGGGTAAAGAGCGGTTCTCTTAACAAGACTATATGCAAAGCTTGAAAATTTTTTTCTTTTATTTTAATCAGAAGTTACGTATTAAAAAACCTCAACTTAATGGTGATTGGATGGAAGCACAATCCAACAGAAATTAAAGTAAATACCAAATGATGTTGTGAAAAATCAAGATATTAATCAGATTGACAGATCATATTAGACAATGTAAAGATAACCTTTAATGCAGATATTATTTTCCATGGAACACTTAACAAACTTTTTAGGGCAACTTTCCAGATGCATTCCCATATCCAGATGCATTCCCATATCCACTTTTGAGGGCAACTTTTTAGTTTGGTTGAGTACTTTCTCTTACTAAATCGGAGACTAGAAGCTTATAGCCTCATATAATCAAGCCCAAATTTCAGGAGCCTGTTAAGAAGTGAAGTGACAGAACTTTGTTATTTCTCAGTTAATTAATTGTATGCACGAACAAATCACAGAATTTGTTATTCGTCATAGAAAATTTGTTATGTTGTTATTTTAAGTGGCAAGACCTAAAATTTGTTATTTGTCACAGAAAATGGCAGATTTTCTATGTTGGGGTGAACGCTTTCTCTCACATCCTGAATAGAAGCTCATAGCCTTGTGTAATCACGCTCCATTTTCAATTCCCCATTAAGAAGTGAAGTCCATAGGAGAAGGTCTCTTTTGTGCATCCTCTCTAAGCATCTCTTTATCCCAATTTCTCAACCAAAAAAAATTCAAAATATAGAGATCACAGAACCCAGTAAAAGGGATCATACAAAATAGAGAGAAAAGTTTGGTAAGAGAATGAAGCAGGAAGAACCCAACAACCCACAGTTGTTCTGTGGATTAGTCATCCTTTCCCTAAATCACTTCAATTAAGCCCAAAGGATTGCTGTTACCCTTTACTGCATATGATAAAAAACTATCAGGGGCAAAAGAACAAATCAAAGGTAAAGTAAGTTTTCCTTAATCACCAAACCTTGCCTCAAGGACCACAGAAAACGTCAACAAACCCTAATAACAAATAGGAAATACACATATAACAGTCAGATTCCCAATCGAGCACATTTTCTTGGGCAAACCCTAACCCTAAAGCCTGGAGCATGATGATTTCTCTTATCTACCTGAGATAATCAGGGTTTTTGATGCAAATAAAGAGCATACTCATAACGTTGAAAATCACCATGGACCCAATACCAGTTTATGCAAAAGAAAACCAAATTCTTTGAGCCCCGTTGTGCCCAACTCCTCCAATAATGAATACGAAACTATAAAAAGGCCCTCTATAATGTATTGGCCATTAATCCTACCTGATGTGAAAACATCTGGTTTCTCTACACTGGTTGCTCAATCTTGATTTCCTGTACGTGGAGGCACTATCTAAATGCTCTCTATGCAAAAAATGGCGGACAAAAGGAGCAGAAATAGGAGGAAATATAATGGTGAAAGAGGAAGAAGTGACGGGTGAAGGCTCGGTGCAGACGCACAGAGAAATGGAGGAGATGGGGGAAAGAGACGATGGCCTGCAAATGGGCTTTGAGAGAGATGAAGACAGGTTAGACAGAGGATACGCATGCCTCAAGACTAATCGAGAATTAGCAAAACATGATAGGAAAACTACAACATTTTTTTTTTTTAATCTTGCATAGGCATATTCAAGGTTTGGGCTGTTTGGGGAAACATGTTTTGGATATGAGCCCCATTTTTTTGGCCAGATATATTTTCTGGTCTCAAACTTGGTATATGCATAATATGTATTTGCAAACGATAAGATAACAATGATCCAATATTATTTAAGTAGAAAATATACCTTTATTAAGTCGTGTGTCTCAAAAATAATGACCTAAAATTATGTGAAACCATTGAGCCTTCAAAGTTTTATGCATGCAAAAAGTTATAGATATTCAAAGGCATTCTTTCATGCATTCAATGACAAGTATAAGACTCATGCCATTGTTACCTCGAACAAGTGGTAGTGGTTTGCTCATAGCCCAAACTATGTATATGGGTATCTTGCAGGGGACACGGTTGGATGGATGTATTTATTATTTATTTTGAACTACCTATTTCATGTATAGGTGATGATCATCTTTGTCTTGTTAATGGAATACATTGTTTGCTTTTATTTCCTTTTAACAGATGGGTAGAGGTCTTTCAACTCCTAGTTTATTCATTTGAGACTAAAATGAGCTAGTTTTCATTATCCTGGCTTACCTTCTGTAAACCTTTTAGTTATCATACCAAATTGAAAATATCTCCTGTTCCTCTTCCGACGTTGATCTTTTCCTGAGCCTCCAAATTATTCTTTGCTTGATTCCTATTGTCCCCCTCCCAGACTTCCTGTTTGTATCAAGCTGGGGCTATTGTGTTATAGTTTATGAAGTGCTTCGATTTTTCATAATTGCTGGACTACCTTGGTCTATTATCCTCTAGAAAAATCAATATTCTGTTTTAATTTGGAGGGTCATATATGCTGTAATCTTGTGTAGCACACACTCCAAATTTATATCTATTCATGCATAACGGACCTTGCAAAAAGCAGAAGTAGCATCAATAATTGTGGATTATATTTTCCTATAATATTACACTATGGTCAGTGCTGAACATTCTATCTCTGTTTAATGTGCATTCTTGACAGGTACTGTGTTAAATGCTGTCTTATGAACTGATGCTTGGGTATGGTGTCCCTTAAAAGCTCCTGAATGTATTGATAACGCTGACTGGTTTTGCATGGATTTTGAGGGGCAGGGTCTCTTTTGCTAGGGATGTGTGTCTCACATGTTGGATTGTCTCGAGTCTCACTATTTGTTACTACCAAAAAAACGGAATGTAGTAGATTCTCAGATGTCTCTACTGCTCCATTTCTTTCCTTGATCCAATGTCAACCTTTTCTCCAAAAGAAGAAGAAAAAAGAAAGCAAGGTGTCGTTAACTTTTACATTTTTCAAGAGCACATACTATTAGTTTTCATGAGCTTTTAGATGATTCAAAAAAGTTGACACAAAAAATTAATGCACTGCTTTGCTTTGATTGATCTCTGGAAATTTCATTATAGTAACTGAAATTACCACTAGACGGAACATAAATAGGTTAAAAGAGTATCTTAAGTTCTATTTATATTATGGGGTTATTAAAAAAAAGAAAAATTTGTGATTTGGACACCTAAAGGGAAATCTAAGGAAATAGTTAATAGCCAATAAACCTTGAGAACGTTGCTACTGCTAGTGTGGCAGAGGCTAAGGCTGTATTGGTAAGCGTTGAGGAATTTGGTGGAAGACAGTATTGGTAATGTCGTCGATGTGGAAGGTGACTCTTAATAACATCATAAGAAGGAATAGAGAATTTTGTGGAATTTGAGAACTTGATCATTTGAGATCATGATGTTTGTGGAAGATTGGATGCGTCCTCTGACCATGTCAAGAAGATTGGATGTGTCCTCTGACCATGTCGAGTGACTAATGAAGAGGCTGATTTTTGGCTAAGTTGGGGGCTTTCTTCATTTGATTCTTTATTGGTGTTCAGAGCTTATATGATTCTTTATTGGCGTTCAGAGCTTATATGATTCTTTATTGGTGTTCAGAGCATATATGATCCGTGTTACCAGTGTTGGTTCCCTTTTTTTCGTCTTCTTTTTTATTTTAAGCTTATTTTGGTTGATATATTTGCTTTGCTGATTAGTAAAAAAAATGGTTCCCTTTTTTTAGTAACCTTTGTCAAACAAAAGTCTCCTTATAGCCTAATAAGATCATACCTGCCATTTACCATATGTATGCCTAGTTGTGACATTCATCGTATTCACTTATTTATTTCCATAAAAAGAGCAGCTCTTATGTTATACCCTACGCCTTGGCCTTTTTGTTGTCTACCATCGTATAAGTAAAGTGTGTCTCCTATTACTATAGAACTTCCAAGGGAGGTGTCCACCAATATAAGTAATGAAAATTTTGTTCCATGAGTCAGCAGGCGCAAGCCCCCTAACTTATTGCAGTTATCTACAGTGTATTGTCCATAAATAAGCTATGGATGTCGCATAAAAAAATACTAAAAAAGTCAAATTCTTAATTTTAAAATTTTATTTTTGTTTTCATATTTATGATTATCTTGGCCTAGATGATGAATCTAAAAAAATATATATTAGAAAAACAAATCATCTAAAATAAATTTTAGTCAGGGGCCGCATATGTATATATGAGTAGTCCGACTCATAGAAACCCCATCCTATAAGTAAAGTGAGTCTTCCCTTTTATAAAAGGTAGGGGTGGCAACGGTCGGGTCTAGGTCTAGCCGAACTTGGGCCAGTCGGGTCCAGGGTCTACCTGTCGGGTCCTGGGTTTGGTCGGATCCATTGCCACCCTATGACTATTAGCTTTTTTTTTTTTTGGCTTTTTTTTAACCATCATATACCCTAGGACTACGGTTACGTGTCGGGTCGACTGGACCCGAATAGTTTTCGGGTCCAAAATTTGAATCCATACCTGGACTCGAGGTTGGGTATACCCATCGGGTCCATTGCCACCCCTAATAAAACTTCATAGGAAGGGAGCTATGAGAACCATACGAAATAAGAGTGATTTACGTACGGACCTTAAAATTTTAGGTAAAATATGAAATGCTCCACTTATATCTAGAAATTATAAAGAATATCGATCAACACGCTTTCTTTCTTTCAAAATTAACTATCGTATAATCCGAATTTTACTAACAAAAAAAACCAAAAAATAATTAAAATTCAAATTGACCTAGTGGCAATTTTGACAAAAAAAAGCGTTAGGTTGACCTGCCTTCTCTGCCTATAAAACATAGCATTTTGTGTTTTACATAAAATTTTAAAATTTTGGTGTCTGTACGTAAATCACTCATGGTGAAATAATTTAGGATAAGAAGTGTCGCTCATAAGAAGCAAACGTGCTGGGTGGCTCATGCTATGTTATTGCAAATCTCTCTATTTTTGTTGCGTCGCATCCATTTCCATAAAAAAAAACACCTTCTCTCTCCTCTCTCTCTCTCTCTACTAGCACTGCCGTCTTCCCTTCATGTAACTCCCTCAAATAAACACACCCTCACTCCGCCCACCTCCTTGCTTTCCCCACTAACAAATAACGTTCAAACAAAGGCCTCCACTCTCTTGACCCCTCACATTCCACATGCACAACCGCCACCACCATCTTTATAAACACTACCTCATGACCTTCTCTTCCCATGATCTCTCCTCCTCCTCCTGCCCTCTAAACAATTCTCCGTCAACCCCTAAAAATGGCAAGCCTCCTCATCAAACAAGCTTCATCCCTACTCATAATCTCCTTTCTCATCTCCTCCGCCATCGCAC